ACAAATTCAGGTTTTAAGTTTGAATAAAAATTTGGTGTAACATTTCAGTCTGTACCTCAGTTTGGTTCCTATTAATTATTTCATAAAATTGCCAATCTGTTTACTCCTTTGGTTTACTAGCCACTCAGTAGTTGCTGTGCAAGTTATAATGTAATAAAAATATAGTTTGGATTTCCAGTACCCTTTGGAAAAAGAAGACATGAGGGCACCGTTCATGCCCAGTGCTCTTTGCAGGATTAGGATGCTAAATCTACCCAGGTAAAACCTGACTGCATAGAAGACATTGGATTGTTTAGAAGGGTTAGGGACTGAAAGCACTGTGATTCCATTCCTTCCTTATGCGGTGGTTTTAGGCTATGGTACCGATGAGAGATCAGCTTGGTGGTGTTTGCAATTTGGAGTCTCACTGAGGTTGACTCTCTCTCCTCTGCTCTTTAATACTCCTATTAGTGGGAGAAGTCAACTGACAGTTTGGACTGTGACACCCCCATTAGATTGATGGTGCCAACTTTGTATAAGATATCAACATCCTATTCCGGTGCTAGAAGGCTACAAGGGTCTGGATGAAAGAGAACAAGCAGAGGAAAATGGAGTTTCTGTTTGTATATTGGGATTCTCCATCAACACTAGTGTCATCTGCGTTCACAGCTTCTGGATTCACAACTTCTGCTTGAACAATAGGTGAAGGCCATTGCTAGAATGACCTTTGCCCACTTTCAGTTTTTGCATTATGAGCTTACCTGGTGTAGGAAGTAAGTTACAGGAACTCATGCTTTCATTACCATCCAAACATACTATTTCAACACATTGAACATGTATTCCTCGACTTACGACCACAATTGAGCCCCACATTTCTGTGGCTAAGTGAGACCTTGTTAAGTGAGTTTTGTCCCATTTTATGACTTTTCTTGCCACCGTTGTTAAATGAGTCACTGCAGTTGTTAAGTTAGCAACATGGTGCTTAAGTGAGTGTAGCTTCCTTTTTTTGACTTTGCTTGCTGGAAGTTTATGAAACATAACCTCGGGAAACTGCAACTGTCATAAATATGAGTCAGTTGCCAAGTGACTATGATCATGTGACTATGGAGAATGCTGAAAGGGTCATAAGTGTGAAAAACGGTTGTAAGACACTTTTTTCAGTGCCATTGTAACTTTGAAAGATCACTAAATGAGCTGTTGTAAATCAAGGACTTCCTGTTCTTTACATAGTGTTGCCCTTAATGGCTAGTTGGAAACTGCAATAAACCCAGACTGCAGAATATTTGGTAGCTGTAAAGAAAGAATATAAATACACACATATATACGCACACATTACACACACAAACTTACATAATGAAATCGTGAGACTGCTTAAAAATGAATAATCTTGTCATTATCATTATGATTTGGTACAACAGATAATATAATTTATTTCTCTTTGGTGATTCTGATTTTAACTCAATATACAGGCACAAGCTAAAAGCATAACTATTTCTAGTCCCATTGCAGCTCCAACTATAATATTTGCCTTTCTTATAGTTGTTTGGAAGAGGATATTTTTCCTGATTTCATCTTATACTCTTACATTTATTACTCTCAGAAGAATTCTGTTGAGAAGTACAAATGTGTGATTTTTTTTTAATAAAAGAAAAACTACAGCAGTTTTTTTTTTTTTAAAAAAACTTTTTAAACTAAGATCATCCAGTAGCTTGTGTTATTTCTCCCTCTGATGGTAATGTTAAGGAAGTGCAATTACTATAACAAAGTGTTGCTTATATTTTACTTTGCAATGTGGCTTCAGAATCTTCTGTCTCCGCTTACAGTAATTAGTACAAGTTGTTTCCTCAACTTGTTACTACTATAAATGTGAAATTAGAAAATATTTTTCCTGTCAAATAGGTATATACTATCATAGAGATGATGGTGAGTTCTATTCACCTTTTCAATACAGGCTGAATAAATTACAACCAGATTAGATTCCAGGATCCAAACTCGGTCAGTCACCGGGACCAGAGACTTAGTCTTCTAAGATTTCAGACTCCCTGAGAAATTCCCTGAGGATCAGCTCCAGCATGAGTCTGGAATCTCATGCTGGAGCCGATCCTCAGGAAACTTCTATCTACCAAAATGTGTGCTTTGGGCTATTCTGTGCATAGTATTTATGTGGTGCCTGGTTGTGTGTGGCTTTTTTTCTTTTCCTTGACTGGGGTGTTGCTGGTCAGTTTTTAAGTCAATGGCTGTTGTTTCCTTGTACTGCCACAAGGTCCTAAGTACCTGATAAGCTGGTGTAAATCAGCACTCCTGTTGACTGACAAGGGCCTGTTTCCCTGGCTTCAATCATTGTCCTGGATATCTTTGTACCTGCTCAGCCAACAATCTTAGTACCTGTGAAATTGAATGTGTGTCCTCGTTCACTGCAATGTGAAGATACCAATAGGTTTGGATCTCTTCGTCTGGCTGCTCGCTCGTGCTCTTTCAATCTGGTGCTTAGCTACCTCCTCGTCTGTTCTACATAGTCACAAGGGCAATCCTATGACTATCATTAAGTGTTGTACCTCACGATTCTTGACGAACGTATCTTTTCTTTTATGAGAGCATATGCACCAAGACAAATTCCTTGTGTGTCCAATCACACTTGGCCAATAAAGAATTCTATTCTATTCTATTCTATTCTATTCTATTCTATTCTATTCTATTCTATTCTATTCTATTCTGGGTATCCAATAGATTACATTGGAAGATCTCCCACCTCCAAGTGATATTTGCAATGCTTGATTTGTTCTCTTATGATAGCTATTGGGCTGTGGACAATGCCCACTTGTAGATCTCAGAAGCTGCATTCTACTGCTTCCGAAATGTTTCTGATGTATGGCAGCCTGTGCCATTTACTTGGTATTATATCTTCTTTCTTCCTTTCTCTAGATTAGATTAGATGATTAGATTGGATTGGATTGGATTCCACCCAGTGGTGGGATTCACTGGTTGTAACAACCAGTTCACTTCGCGTGCCCTCCGGAGGCTGGAAATGTTTCTGACTTCTGGTATTTCTGGTAGGCCCGTTTTTTGCCTCCCCAGGCTCCAGAGGCTTTCCTGGAGCCTCCAGGAGGGCAAAAACTGCGTCCCTGGGCTCTGGAGGCCCTCCGGAGGCTGGAAATGGGCCCATTTTCAGACTTCCAGTCCTTCCGGTAGGCCCAGTTTTCACCCTTCCCAGGCTCCAGAGGTTTTCCTGGAGCCTCCAGGAGGGCAAAAATGGCCTCCCCCGGGCACCAGAGGCCGGAAACAGGCCCATTTCTGGACTTCCGATAGGCCCATTTTTCATCCTCCCAGAGCCTCCACACGCACCCTGCACTTACCTGGCATCCAAAACAGGTCATGTGGAGACTCCTGGGAGGGGCGGGGTGGAGTGGGCGGAGTCAGGCAGTCCTTGGAACAACCGGTTCGCCGAACCAGATTAAAATTAACATCCAGTTCACCCAAATTGGTCTGAACCGGCTGAATCCCACCCCTGATTCCACCCATTAAATTTAAGCACATGAGATGCTTTTCTCTCAGTCTTAACCACCTTTCTGGGCAAAGTTGCAAAACCTATCTTCTTCTCTGCTGCTCTATTTGCAGAACCCTCATGGAAGTGTTGAGTTCACACTTTTACACTGCATTAAAAATAATGATGATGATTAGAGTCACATGGTCCATGGATATACAAATCCACAAGTATCCTGGCTGGAATGCTTCTAAGCAACTTAAGACAATTGTCACCAGCATGGCACCACTATTGTCCTTTATCCTAAGATCCTTGAGGACTTTCTTTTCATGCAAACATTGTCACTGTCCTACCAGGGATACTAAGAAATAGAGGCTCCAACTTGAAAATTGCTAGATGTGCTATCACAAAGCATTTCTTCCTCCCCTCCCACTTACCCCTGCCCTGAAAAGGAGATGTTGGCAGTGGTTGCTCTTTTTTTATCACACTGCCCTTAAGCCTTCCATGAAACCACATTTTGAAATCTCACAAAAGTTCATGCTCTGTGGCAGCAAGAAGAAGAAAATGTTTGCAGGCTAAATCCGGGGGATTAAAAACCCGCCCAGGCCACAGGAGGAGAAACTGGAAACCACCTTCTCTCAGCTATCAGTTATGGAATCACTGGAGCAACAGAATGGAAGGCAAAGTTGCTGTAAAAAAATTTTTGCAGAGGCAAAACTTCAAGAAATAGTTCTTCAAGTTGTTAATTTTATCCACGAGATGAAGATTTGAGCTTGAAATGTGTCCTTTTGCCTCATAACTTACACTTTTTTGGACTTACAATACGAAGAACTTAATTTTATAATTGAACATTGAATTTCAATTCTCTCTAGATTTTTCCAACTAATTTCTAATGAGTTTTAATTCTCTGGAACATTGTTTCTCAACCTTGGTGGCCTTAAGATGTGTGGACTTCAACTCCCAGAATTGGCTGGGGAATTCTGGAGGTTGAAGGCAACACATCTGAAAGTTGTGCAGGTTTGACACATTGTTCGAGGATTGCCAGCTCAGTTCCTTTGTGTCTGGAAGGTGGAGGAAGCACTAACACATTGGTGCGAACCTCTAATTCTAGAGTCCCCTTTTGGTAGCTTTTGAAATCCCATCTGAATGCAGTTCCTGAAAATTGACAGCATGGTTTCTCGCTCTTTTCAGGTAGGAAATAGATAAAACCTAATAGCGACAACCTAAAATAGGCATATTACATTTTTCAGAACCCAAAATCATGTATCCAACCCTCCAAAGTCTAGCTTTGCCCATAGAGCTGATAAGTCCCCCAACCACCCTATTTGCAGTCCTCAGTCTCTCCAAATTATAAAATAGAGCATATGATTGCCAAAGGCTACATTCTCTGTGACAGTGGAATTCTAGAGAATTCTATAGAAATCTAATAAATGAAATGAAATATTCTGAAGGAAGTAATGGCTATCAAATGAGATGTTTATATTCTACTTGGTGAAAATCATGGATCCAAAAATGGGGTTATAGTGGATCCTGCAAACAGATACTCTCATATATGTTCTGATTAAAATTGATACATACGTAAAGACTCATAGGCAATGTGAAAGTTTTCCTCATGATCCCCATATGTTAAACCTGGCCCAGCTTCTAAAGAAAATAGAAATTTCAAAGCGTGTTTTTCAAATTCATTTTAATTTAAACATTTATGTACTCCCAGTGATTACATAAGTCATTTATTATAGGCAGGAAGAAAGTAGCCATTCATGAATCCTAAATATCTTTGATTTAGTGAAGTTGGCAAAAAGAAAAGAGAAAGAGAAGCGAGCACAATATCAGCATGTCTTATTTTCCACAAAGCAGATTATAACAGGAACAATGAATAATTAAATTCCAACTCAAGCTCAGGTTTGCATCATTTCTCTGGAGATCCTGAATTATCTTTTAATACTGTTTGCAGTGTTGGGGATAAAATGGGGTGTGGTTATATAAAACAAAGAGCTGAAGACCTACACAAGTTGAATTAACCCTTAATTTCCATGCCATTTTCATGCTCTGATTCAACCATATCTCCATATCATGTAAATATTATCTTCATGAATTATTACTTCCTAATCATTCTTAATAGGATGCTTCTCCTTCTCCTTGGTTGAATATCTGTTGGTGGGCCGCCACCACTTCCCTCATCTACTGGAACTTCTGCATCTGGTTTCGTTGGGTAATAATAGAATGGAACAAAATAATATGGCTGTGTTTCAACTGAGCCAATTGAGTTGGGATATAAGTATTTTATCCAGTTCAGATATGCATTTGCATAATTTTCATATTTGTCTTGTGGAACTTGATAACCCTGTGAAAATAGAAAAAAAAATCACTGTATCATTTCCTTCCCATATAAATGACAGATTAAAATACCTATCTGAATAGAAAGATTCTGAAGATGTCACTTTAGAAACCTAAAGATTGTTTGGACCATTGATATCACATTTTCCATCAGGACTTTCAAATTTCTGAATTGCCTGATCATGCCAAAGTTATGTTTATTTTCTTTATACAATATATCTGCTACTGCCAGATAAAGTTTAGCAGACCAGGGCAAGTCTTTATAATAGCAATAGCACTTAGACTTAGATATTGTTCACAGTGCTTTACAGCCCTCTCTAAGCAGTTTACAGAGTCAGCATATTGCCCTCAACAATCTGGCTCCTCATTTTACCATCCTCGGAAGAGATGGAAGGCTGAGTCAAACTTGAGCCTGGTGAGATTCGATCTGCCAAATTGTAGGCAGCCAGCAGTCAGCAGAAGTAGTCTGCAGTACTGCATTCTAACTACTGTGGCACCACTTCTCTTATCAGATTTCTCATGCGCTGTATTACTGATTTGATTTTAAAATTGATAGAAATTCACCAGATTGGTAAAGAATGGTCATTCTTGTCTAAGTTTTCAAAGATGATACTATTTTTCTGCTTAATAATTTAAGACCCTGTCATATTTACAGCTAGGGCAGGTTTTTGAAGAGGAAAGCCTTTTTAAAAATGCTTTTTGGAATCACCATATGATGGTGCAACTTTATGTGATCATAAGCCTGTTCCAAGGAGCACCTGGAAACCTTTATTTACCCAAGAGCCTATCATTGCAATAAGCATGCCAGTTTTTTTCAATGTTAAGGAAAAAAAGGACATCTCAGTCACTCTGAAAGGCAATCCCTTTCCATCCATAGACTGGGGATAGATGGATGGTTCCATCTGAGACCCATTGAAACGAAACATCCATGTTCATTACCTATCAAGATTTTGAATGAAGTTTCAATTCCTGCTTGCCACGGTTGCTGGCATTGATCAGCTCATCCAGCATTCCTTCTAAGCTATCAAAAGTCATTCATATATTTAGCAAAATTAATACATTGGTTAAAAAAAAAAACCTTGATGTAGGTTGGAATACAAACATCAAGATGATTTTCTCTTTGTATCTACATATCTCAGCCACACTTGATGCAATGTCTTGTGAACCAGTATTTTTACAGCAAACATTCAAACGTTTAGATCAAAGCAAGTAAATTAGCTTGTGAAAATGGGACAGGTATTATACTCACATGGAAATGAGAAACACCCACAGTGAAAAATAAAGGTAGCAGTAATGGTACAATGACTCTCATCTCCTAAACGTATGTCTTGACAGGGATTTAAAAAAGAGAGAGAAGGAAAATGAGGTCAATGACAAAATGGAAGTGCCAATTGCACTCCTTGATAGAAAAAATTCCGTAGCCACATAAAAGGATAAGATACAAATTAGCTGGCACCTGCAGTTCATGGAACATTGTGACTTGGCCTCAAGGGCTGAACAGGATGCCGAGCCGCATTCTGTAAAATGAAAAGGAGTAATACTCTATTTACCAGCAATATGACAAATACCTAGGGGAAAAAAACCCAGGCTCCTTCAGGTGGCATACATGGCTGAACAGCTGTTTCAGTCTGAGAAAGATGGAGAATTTTTGTTCACTACAACAAGGATCTACATGTCTTCTATTATTTGTCAATCAGAAATAGAGTGGGGTAATTGCCCCCATTAGGAGAGATGCAATAGAGATGAAGGAACAAATGCCATCTCAGTTTCTGATTGAAAATGGATCTTATCACTTGCAATCAGGATGTAGCTGCCTTTGCTTCTTTTCAAATATATCTTCCTCTTTTCATTCTTAAACACTTTCTCTTATCTTTTTTCTTCAAGGTTTCACATAAAAGCTTCAAAACAAAAAAAAAAGCACCCACCTCTGAAACTTTGTGATTTCCAAGAATGTTTCTGGGCTCATATATACCCAATAGATTAAAAAGAAGAAGAAGATGTGGGTTGCTGCAACAGATCATGCCAAACCAACCTGACTTCATTCTTTGACAAAGTGATTAAATTAGTAGACTAGTGAAATGCTGTGAACATAGTATACTTAGATTGCAGTATGGTATTCAACGAAGTAGACCACAACCTACTTCTTGGTAAACTAGAAAAATGTGCAATAGACAGTATCACCACTAGATGGATTTGTAACCAGCTGACAAACCATACTCCTTAATACTACTCATAGTAGTAGTCCTTAATACTGCTCATACTATATCTACATGGAAGGAAGGAAGCAGTGGGGTACCACAAAGTTCTGCCTTAGGCCCAGTACTCTTCAATATCTTCATAAATGACTTAGATGAGGGTATAGAAGGGGAATTCATCAAATTTGCAGATGACTCTGAACTGGTAGGAATAACCAACACTCCAGTAGACAAGCATAGGATCCAGAAAGATCTTGACAGACTTGAACTATGGACTTTATTCAACAAAATGAAATTTAATATGGAGAAAAGCAAGGTTTTACACTTAGGCAGGAAAAACTAAAGGCACAAGTACAGATTAGGTGAAACCTGGCTCAAAAACAGTAACTGTGAGAGGGACCTTGGAGTCTAGTGGACAATCACTTAAATATGAGCCAGCAGTGTGTGGAAGCAGCCAAAAAAGCTAATACAATCTTTGGTTGTATAAACAGAGGCATAGAATTGAAATCACAGGAAGTATTAGTTCCGCTTTTTAAAACCTTAGTAAGACCACATCAGGAATAGTTCATTCAGTTTTGGTCACCACATTAAAAAAAAAAGATGTTGAGGTATTGGAAAAAGTGCAGAGAAGAGCAACTAAGATGATTAAGGGCCTGGAGACTAAAACATATGAAGAATGTTTGCAGGAACTGGATATGGCTAGTCTAGACAAAAGAAGGACTAGGGGTAACATGATAGCAGTGTTCCAGTATTTGAGGGGCTGCCACAACAAAGAGAGGGTCAACTTATTTCCCAAAGCACCAGAAGGCAGGACAAGAAACAATGGATGGAAAGTAATCAAGGAGATAAGCAACCTGAAATTAAGGAGAAACTTCCTAACAGAACAATTAACCAGTGGAACAGCTTGCCTTCAGAATTTGTGAGCGCTTTATTTCTGGAGGTTTTTAAGAGGAGACAGGACAGCCACTTGTCTGAAATGGTATTGAGTCTCCTGTTTAAGCAGGGAGTTAGATTACAGGACCTCCAAGGTCTCTTCCAGCTCTATTCTGAATTATTGAGTAACCCATTATTTTGCTCAAAAATGTATCCACCTACTCAGAAATAAGACAAAAGTAAGCCAAGGAGGGAAGAAACCTTTTGGTACCTGGATGAGGTATTGTGATTGATTATAGAACCCTAGTTTTCATTTTGTAACAGCTCTCCTAACACATTCCTCAACCCCCAAAGTGTATAGTCATATCCAGAAAGATTATCTATCTGTGCCCCAGTTGCTAATGTGAACAGCAGAGCAGCTGGGTTAGTACCTAGAACAGTTCCTGGTCATGTAAGTCACATACAAATTGAATTATTGCAGTGTGTTCTAGATGAGTTTGTTACTGAGTTTGGCTTGGCAGCTATAGCTAATACAAAGTATGAGAGGAGCTTGGTTGCCATAGGTGCAGCTCACTGTAAACCTGATATTTATCTGTTCAGAAAGCCCTGTGTTGTCCCAAGTTGCTATTGAGATAAATTCAATAATATTTGGATGTCTGGCAAAGTGTTTCCCACCACCATATACCCTCCTATCCATTAAAAATAATGGGAATACTTTCCTGGTAGTTTAACATCTGCCAGAATTTTATTTCATTTATTATTCAATTTCTACACTACACACCCCGCCTAAGCGATTCACAATTTTATCTTGTGGTGAGTCAAAAGATGTGAGCAATTCAGTTGTGGGAATCCTTCCCTGTTCCATTATGGTTGGTGTTTTGATACTCATTTATGACATGTATCTAAGATTCTGATTATTTAGAAATGCTGTGTGAATCAATCCAAGTCATATTGTTATCCTATCTTAATAGAGGTTTAAGAAAGTTTTGGTTTTAAACACATTTTAGACCTTCCCATTGTAACCTTGTACACATTCTTAATGTGTTTGAATCTCCAGATAACAATCCCAATTTCGGATAACTTTGGTGTTTTTCTTTTTAAAGCAGTAGAATAGGAGATATAAAGTTTATAATTCAATCAATCTGTTTATTCCTCAAAGCCCAAGATTCCAATTTCCCTTTAGAAGAAAAATAGTGAAAGTTATCTTGATTTTGTACAATGTTAGATTCAACAAGCAGAAATAGAAAGCCAGTTTGTTAAAAAAAAAAAAAAAGGACATACCTTTCCAATTATAGGTTGATCCCACTTTCTATAGCACTCCTAGAAAATCTGAATGACAGCTGTGGTTTCACTGCCCCATTCCCATCTTCATCATCTGTCTCATGTTCTATATTATCTGTTAGTCCAGAATTGTATAAACCACTGCAGAAAGAAAAGAACTGCCTTCAAGACAATGTTGCTTCATTTTTATAAGCCTAAATTTGCATGTCTGATTCACACAGAGGCCTGTTCAGTTAAGGTCATGGAGCTGTGATCCACCAGGTAAGCCATAAATCTTGAGGGTCCAGGAACTACAGGTTTAATTCTGCATTAAGTTGACCAAGTAATGTGGCTTATCTTGAAAAATGAGTGAATGCTGTAAATTAGGGCTTGTGTTTGTCTTATTTCTTTTGAGAATCAGGTTGTTTTTCTGGATTCTTTAGCATTCTTGTGGTAATAAATTTCCCCTTTTCACTTGCCTTCTCCTAGGAAGAAGCCGGCCTCTGAGTCAGATGTATCATCATTTAAGTTTCAGCATCTTCAGTGGAACCCACTATTGGTGAAGATTTTTGACATTGCGTGATTTCCTCCATGTTTTCATAAAGTGAGCTGAGCTTCGGCATTCAGTTTTTATTGCATGTATGACCTGTTTTTCCTCAGACAACTCTAGCTCACTTTCATGGGGTTTTCTCTTCATTTTGTCCCACAATAACCTGTGAGGGAAACTGAGCTGAAAGGAACTGGCCCAAATTCCAAACTGTATGCTTTGTAGCGAAGTAGGGATTTAATTCTTTCAGGCCTACTACAGCATCTCTCTCTCTTTCTTTTTTCCCAATTAAATCTCATCACCAGAATGTTCCAGGCTTTGTATATATTATCACTAAGTTATGGGACCTATATTTACTGGTAATCAATTTTAACGTAAGATTAGGACTATAGCCATCATCTTCGACATTATTAGCTTGTATCTGATCAGAAGAATGTTAGAACTTATATTAAAGGCAAGTGTAAAAGGATGAAGGGGAAACAAGTTGTAATTACAGACAGTCTTCAACTACAATCATTCGGTTAGTGAATGATTACAGTTCAAAGTTCAAAGTTACAGTGGTATTTTTAAAAAGCAATTTATGACTGGTCTTCACGTTTATGGCCATCACAACATCCCCATGATCATGAGATCAAAATTTAGGTGCTTAGCAACTGGCATGAATTTACAATGGTTGCAGTGTCCCAGGGTCATGTCATGGCCATTATGACTTTTCCAGCTGGCCTCTGAGAAGTAAAGTCAATGGGGAAGCTGGATTCACTTAACATCCAGGTGATTTGCTTAACAACCATAGTAAAAACGATTGTAAAATTGGTGCTTAATAACCGCCTTGCTTAGCAATTCTGATCCCAATTGTCATCTTAAGTCAAGGACTACTTGTATGGACAATTCTAGTTGGAGTATGTCTATGGAGATTCTCAGTCATCCAGATCATGGTTGTCCCAAAGGTGCTTTTTCAAGAGGCAGCTGGACTTTCTTATTTTTCTTTGAAGATGTTTCGCTTCTCATCCAAGAAGAACTGAAGAAGTTTCTTGGATGAGAAGCGAAATGTCTACAAAGAAAAACAACAAAGTTCAGTTGCCTCTTGAAAAAGCACCTTTGGAACATTCTAGTTGGAGGTGATGAGAACTAAAATAAAATAATATCTGAAGAACCATATGTTCCCTGAATTCAGGGCAAGAAACATTACTTTCTTCATACTAACTTTCTTCCTGTAGGACTTTAATAGTTCAATTTTTATTGTATTACAGAGGAATATCTAGAGCTGTTTTTAATTGATCCCACCCTGCCTATTCAGTATTAAACTGATGGGGGGAGGGATGACACACAATATATTTGTATGTTTGTTGTTTCTTTATGCACATTTTCATCTTGTTTAGTTTTTGCTTTAGTTGTTGTTTCTCTTTTTTTGGTTATGTTGAAGTTTATATTTTAACTTTGGAAATAAATTAAAAATAAAAATAAAAAGATTTACACATACACCATTTTTACCTTTCATTGTTTCCCCAAGCTAAACATTACATATATCACCATGCCTACTTTCAGTTTTGTCACATTCGGAGGCTTTGGAAGTAGTGGAGGGGATAGTTGCAACTAAGAGCAAGAACCTGCAAGATGAATTTCAATGGATGTAAATGTAAAATTCTACATGGAATAAACTCCCTTTTTATGACCCTGTAATCCCTTAATTCGGGGGTTTTTGGGTGACTGGATGGAGCTGAGTGTTTACTAGCCAGATGCCCTTCCTGATGCCATACAGAATTTGCAGCAGATATTGATTCTTTCAACTATAGGAGAGAAACATCTGCCACTACCTGGGATTGAATTTTCAACCTTCATAGTGGGAGGCGAGCATCTTCACCACTAGGCCACCATGCCGCTCAAAATTCTACATGGAATATTGGTCCAATTCCAGTGTCACATTTTACCAAGGATTTTAATAAACAGAATTGCATCCAAAGGGAAGCAACCAGGGGTGGGTTCTACTTACCTTTATTATTGGTTCGCAATGAGACTGCAAGTGTGCACTTGCTTTGCTCACTTGCATGCGCTTCTGCGTATGCACAGATCACCCAGGATGACATTAGGGTGGGTGGAGCCTCCTGCTGGTTTTACTACCGGTTCTATAGAACCGGACACAACCAGGAGGAACCCACCACTGGAAGCAACCAAGATAATATGGTGCATGAAGGAAAACTATAAGGAATAAGTGAAGAATTAGTATGTAAAACAGAAAGTTGCAGGAAGAAATGAGAAGTGTCTTCAAGTATTTGAAGAGCTGTCATCCAGAAGACAGAATAGAATTGTTCAAAGGTGTTTCAGAACACAGAACAAGAAGCAAAGGGTCTGAACAACAAGGAAGCGTACTTATTCATTAGGATTATTTATTAGTTTTGTACACCAATAAAGCAATTGGGAGACTCAAACAAATAACCCTCATAGAATCCCTCTTGCCACCAGTTTCTTTCTGAAACTGCTCCAAAAATGCCCACTTAACTCATTTCTAGAATACCATTAGTATGGCAGTTGAGATTCCAAAACGAAATTGTACTATAAAACAGGGGAAAACTTTTTAAAAAGCTACCTCTATGAACCACCCTTTTCATAAGGGTAGGGAACTACTAATAGTTTATCTCAGCATGCATATGCAGGGCAGATTGCTTCTGGTTGGATAAAGTCGTCTGGAAGCAAACCATGTAGTTAAGCTAAAATCAGGATATTTAATGGCAACTGCAAACCTCTTGGTTTTTAGAACTACATGGCAACTATATCCCTAACCTACCCACAAATAGGGCACTGCAGTTTGTACCATCTGCAGTTACCAGTGAGCCTTCAAAGGCAGCCCCATGTACAGTGTATTGCAGTAATCCAGGTGCATAGTGTTAAAACGCATGAGTTATTCTTGCTTGGGCCAAGTGAAACATCAGGAAACATTTCCTAGCTCTGCAAAAGACCACCTTGATTTTACTTTCGCTGGATATACTGGATGGCCATATCTTGGAGATGCTGTAATAGTATTCTTAATTTACCAAGATCCATTTCAATCTATAATTCTTTGAATAAATCACAGAAATACTCTTTCCATAGCCTTGTTGAACTTTGATGTTATCTCTGATGTTACTCTGCTCTAGAGAAAAACATTGCTTTGAGCAACAGCACAATGAAATTCTCCAAAGAGGTTAATCACTTTTCTTAGATATCACTTTTGGGCAGAGAAGTGACATCAAATGGACTCTGTTTGTGATACAATTGTCTCAGAAATTTTGTTTAACTGCCACCTATGGAGAATTAGGAAGCTTATACTCCTTAATCCAGCATTTGGCCTCATTCCCCCCTCTTCCTTTTCCTATTTGCCAAAAGAATGGGGCCTTCTTGAATTAAGGTGATAAAACAAACAGGAGAATTTCTACACTTGGGTTTTTAAGGCTTAGGACTAGATTTTGCTAAACCCTGAATATTAAGAGATTGTGGGCTGTTTCAGATCTTTGGCTCTGTGAGGCAAAGAGGAATCCCTGTAAAATGAAACAGGTTGAACCAGGAAGGTTTTACAAGTGATGCTTCATAATATTGTAGAAAGGGAGGGTGTAAAAAAAGAGGTATGTTTTACTTTATAAAATACTTGGATAGTGAGTATGTTGTGTGGGAGGAGGAAGAAGAATTGAGGCAAGTGACTAAGAGTCTGCTTAATTTTAAAAAAAGTGACTGTTTAATCACAGGAATAATTCAGTGTCTTTCAATCAAAGAGTTCTTCCTCAAACCTGTAGTACAGAGCCTGTAGTACAGTAGACTAAAGCACTGTTATTAACATCTGCTGCTTGCAATTACTGCGAGTTCAATTCTCCCCAGGCTCAAGGTTGACTCAGCCTTCCATCCTTTCAAAGGTAGGTGAAATGAGGACCCAGATAGTGGGGGCAATAAGCTGACTTTGTATAAATATACAAAAGTATGAAGGCTATTGCTTAACGCATTGTAAGCTGCCCTGAGTCTCCGGGGAAGGGCGGCATATAAATTAAAGCAAAAAAAAAAAATTAAAGTTCTCTAACTAACAGAAAACTATGCTGGCATGAAATGTGTAGTCTCCACTGGGAATCCTTATCAATTCCAGCCACTGATGATGCCCTTATGTGTGGAATTCAGGGCTCATTCTAGAAAGAAACAAATAGATTTCTCCAACTTTTCTTCTCTCCAATATGATCAGACATGGGAAAACATCCACCATCTATTCTGCATGATGTGAGATGGTGATGGGGCTAAAGAGGAGAAGAATTTTGACAGATGGAAAGTTAGGCGGGCATAGCTTATTGTGAGAGTTCATGCTGGATTGACACTAATGGCTTATGTGAGACATTCAGTTTATAGTTGGACTCTTTTGGAGAAATCCTTAATGCAATCCTGAAATCGATCTATTCTATAATACTACTAACTAAACTTATGTTAAATGAAGTTAAAAGAAGTCTAACATCAATTGATTGTCGGGGTCTCCTTGAAAGCACGAGAACTTACAGGGTGGACACTCCTCTTATCATTTTAAAGAAATAATTTGATTCTCCCAAAGTTGTTTGGGCATAGCTTATTGTGGGAATTCATGCTGGATTGGCACCGATGGCTTATGTGAGACATTCCATTTATAGTTGGATTCTATTCCTGAAATAGCTCTATTCTGTACTACTTCTAAACCTATGTTAAAAGAAGTCTAACAACAGCTGATTGTTGGGTTCTCCTTGAATGCAACCAGCAGAAAATACTTGGATGGAACCAGAGCTATTTCTCTGGATTCTTT